TGGAGATGGAATGGGATAGGGTTGGGGTGATGTATAGGAAATGAATTAACCATTGCCAATCTAATGCAGCAGCGCAGTAAACTTAGGTGAGAATCGTACATTATATACATGCTTCTCAGTTCTCAATACAGTATATATATATATATATATATATATTGTACACACAGTGGACAATATAAACTGTACACTAAAATAATTGTTCAGTGTTAATAAGAACAATATTGTGAAGTCATTGTACCTAATATACAGTACAGTACTGTACTGTACTGTACCGCTGAGCAAAAATCATCTTCATTTCCTGTTGCTGCTATGAAGATGGCTATTAATTTTGAGGTAAAATTAACAGTGCCTAAGTGTCATGAATGCATCCCCCCTTTATTACATGTTTGTTTAATTCATTGCCATTTAACACAGCATCTTTCAGAAGCCTTCATCAATAATGTACATAATTACCAAATAAATAAAGTATGGTCTTGCTTAACATGTAATCAATTAATGAAAATTTGGATAACAACCGTAGTGTTTTAGGATATGACAATTTAATTAACTAACTTCCATTCAATGGGAAAGACTGCTTGAGACTTTCTTTCAGCTGTTTATCTACTTATAAACTCAGATTTTAATTAGATTTCTAATTCCTGTTGTTTGAGAGAGAATAGTTACAACCAAATAAGGTGGCTGGAGAGGACGGACAGTATCATTTGATATTCTGTAAGCTTATGATCATCCTGTTCCACACATGCATGTCTTAATGTGCACACATACACATCTGCAATTCACTAGTCACTGTTAGGTTTTTTAGGTACAGTATTAAAGAATAACCGAGGAAAATAAAGCTTACTTAAAACTTGTGTTAATGGATATATAGAGAAAATAAAATTCAACCATTAACACCTGTATGTGGTGAGAAGCAGTAATGTTAGCAAATGTGAAAGAAATTTATTGCCAAAATTTACTTAATGTTTTATCTACAGCACTATAACAATAGATAAAACATAATATCACAGAAGTATTAAAAACACCTAAGCAAATACCTTAAATGCATGAGGTGGGAAACAACGGCTTTGGAGGCTGATGACAGCCATGCTTTATCAGAGAGGGAGCAGAGTTGGTTTAGTTCACTCATAGAATCAATTTCTATACAGTATAATAATTTTAGGCCAACAAAAGCAGCACAAATCTTCAGGTCTGGTGACATTAGACTGGCTGCAGTCTCCACTGCCACGCAACTATTCAACTTAAATATTTTTGGGTAATGTTCTTGGGTCAAAGTTCTTTGTTCTGAAGCTCATCTCCATTTATACCAAAGGTTTTTGGATACTATTGAACATGTCGCTTATCAAATGGGGCCTCTCTGCATCCATGAATTCACTAAGTTTTTGTTCTTTCCTTTTCTATGCTGAGTCAATCCATTATTAATGGGCATGAAGCCTACACTGCCTTGGGGCAGTTGCCAAAAGCCTCCACAAAGATGTTCAGCACCCATACAGCCCAAAAGTCTTAATCTTTCTTAATATTTGCTTATGAACTTGGAGCTTGTGTTGAAAGATGAAATGAACAGGTAGGGTGAAGAAGTGGAGGGTTGAGTCAGCTGGCAGGTATGCCAGCAAAACGATGTTGGTGACTTCTATACTACTGCATTCAGTAGCATCACTTTTGAAGTTGTTTTGAGATAATTTAAGGGCAGCACACCAAATTAGAATCCACAGTGCTTTCTAAGTGAGGAAAGATTGCTGTAGACAGCACAATTATACAGGTGATACTAGTCTGCACCCAGAAAACAAATACTACATGTTTTGTACCATTAACTTGGCTACCAGGTTGGGTTAGCCTGCTACTGACTCAACCTCATTGTAGAAAATGAGTCTACTAGTGCACTAACCCTGTTGGTCGCATAATCAATGAAAAAGCATGACCAGCCCTCCTTCATAAATGATAATGTGCATTGATTTACTCCTAATTTTGCTCATTAAATTGAAAAGAATTTTGTTCACTGAATTTTTAATATCCTTAAACACTAAAGTTCATCAAATGAATTTTTGTTCATCGATTACTCCTTGAGTGAGACCTCACTGTGCATGTACAGTAGATAAAACAACTATCTGTGCATACTTTGTGGGAAACAATATGAGACCATGGACGATAAATATGAGGGCTGTCATTAGTCACACCTAAAACTTCGGAGCATATCGACCCCACCTGCAGATACAGTAGTTGTTTTAGCTACTGTACATACAGTAACAGGCTGAGTTACTTGACACCTGTACATCCAAATCAACACAAGACTGAACTAAATATTCTCTGGTACAGTAATTATACAGTAAAACCATATGTTAACAATGGGGGGAACATAAATAAACTCAGGACTGAGGCTGTGTACATTATGTTTAAGATGAACAAAAGCATTAATTAGATATTGTATGGATATACTGTACATTAAATAGTTAAATATTTTTTCTGTTGAGTTTGTACCGAATAAAATAAGTTGTTCATAAAATGTATCAATACTAGAGTTTAATTTAAATGTGCTGAAGTGGATATTAGTGAGCATCATTACACAAACAATCATGGTTGGTTAGGTTATCAATAGTGTATTGAGTGATGTTTAAATATCTCAAAGTCTTTAACTGTGGGTTTGTAATTAATAAAATTTAAATTTCTATGACAAACACTGACTGAATTATTTTGGTGTGTGTAGGAGATATTGGCATATTCAAGTAAATGTGACATTTTCTAGTGTGTTTGTGGTAAAAGTATGAATACTGTACTGTATACATTATTAAGTTTGTTCATGCAGATGTAAAGGAGGAGATATTAACATACTTGTTATACTGCAGTGTTTAAGTGGCAGCCAGTTGTGTAGATACACGTTGAGTGTGGTCAGAAGTCATCAGGCTATGGAGCTGGATTCAGTATTTTTAACGTTTTCAACAAAAAACACCAATTATGTACAGTACACTTAACCCTGCAAGTTTTACACACTACTCAGTGAGATGCTCTTAATCAAACAGATGGTATAATTGTTAATGCCTTTGAGTGGTCAGTATGTAAGGTTGGGGGCAGGTGAGGAGGGTGTGTCACCCCCCTCTCCTTATTCCTCTCAATGCTGGTAAACTGACACACATGAATCTACCATTATAGTCATTATCATAACATTTGTTTGAGTACTAAAGTATATACTTGAGGGGAATTACTGTATCTATTGATGCCTTATTTTCCATTTAACATTAAGAACACAGCTCAGATGATGTACCATTACATACACTCACACAAGGAAGTAAAGCAAGTCCCTGACTTGACTCGGTTACCAACACGGTATGCATAGTGGTTGCTGATGAGCCGTCTTAAATCTTGGGTAACTGCCTAGCCACTCTTACCTGGCAAGAATGTGACTTCTCAAGGAAGGGTACCATACTGTACTGTATACATTTTTGAGTTAAAATATGTTATCCACTAGGATTCAATGTGCATTCCCTTTCTATTCCTAAAAAATTTTATGAACATCTCAGAAACCACTGTAATACTACAAAGAGGATTTATGGCATACTTTTCACATTCTATAACAAGTCCCTGCCCCACATATGTGAGGCTATACTGTACTGTGTGTATATATATATATATATATATATATATATATATATATATATATATATATATATATATATATATATATATATATATATATATATATATATATATATATATATATATATATATATATATATATATATATATATATATATATATATATATATATATATATATATATATATATATATATATATAGGGGGGGGGGGAGGTTACAGCCCCATAGCTTAGTTGTAGAACATCTGTCTTGAGAATAAATGGTCAAAAGTTCTATTTTAAACTAGTGTGGAAGATTAGGTTCCTTCCTTGGACACTTGACATTGTGCAATATACAAGCAAAATGTCAATTAAGAAAACATGAAACATTTCTGCAGACCAAAAACTCTGAAATGTTTTCAGATCAGATAATAATACAGTATCCTGTTTCTTGAAGAACATGATAATTGCAGATAATGCAACTACAGTATCAGGTCACATTTTCACATTCCATAAACCAAGGAAGGAAATGTACAGACAATATACAATATGGTCCTGTTAACACACCAAAGTATCTACGTGTGATGAAAATATCCTCAAGATAGATATTGGCTACTACAGTCTGATTATGGCATAAGATGTGCATCACTAACTGGTGGTCCTCAGTATTGTGTGTAGTAAATGTAACTTAATTCCAAGAAAGTTCTGATGGGTAACTCTGGAACCCTGTGGTAAAAGTCTCTCCTTTAACCCTTTCAGTCCTAAGCTTGGTACATTTTTGTCCCTTCCCCATGCTAAGGAATATTTTTTAGCAAACATATCTGAACTTATATAGCCAAATAAGTGATGTTCCCTTCAAAATAGTCACTTGGGAGGCTATACGCTTATTACAACTATGCTGACCTTGCTCAAAACATTTTGGAAATTCCTTTCTGGAATTGCCTTTAGAGACTGAGCCTGCATTACATTTTCTTGAATATCCACAGTGGTGGCAAATCATCCTTTGACTGGGGATTTTATTTTGGGAAAAAGCTAAGTCTGGTGAGTAAAGTGGTTCATCTAATTTGAGTAGTACCATCTTTGGTCAATAACTGTTTCACGGAAAGCACACTGTGAGCCGGAACATTGTCATGGTGAAGAAGCCAATCATTGGGTAAAGTTCACCCCTTTTGTATCTCAGAGAATCTCTCAATGCTTCAGAATTTCTACATAGTAGATCTGATTGACTGTAAAGACCTTGTGGGATGAATTCTGTTTTTTCTAAAAATCAAAACCTCCTCAAAGGAATAAGGTTTGCCACTATTGTGCAAATTTATGAGAATGTGACACACACACACCTTTGTAGCATTTCAGTGGTTACAGATATCCTATGTTTAACCTCTAACCCTGATGAACTGATAACAGTAAATCATAATATGGGTTATAAAACTTATCCATTTATCAAAAGTCACTTGACTATTCTGTATATATTTGATTTTTTTTTGCTCAACATGTCATACTGTTATTTTTTCTTAAACAGGTCAACTCTGTTTTGAAGGAAAATTCTAGGTAACAAAAATGAGTGAATAAGTAAAGGTTTCTTCTCCATTCCCAAATCTTGCTAATTGTAAAAAAAAAATATTAATACTGTGATAGGAGGCATTGCTCTTGCCGTACTAGATCAATAACTATTCGAAGATAAAAATAAATATTCATTTTATATGCAACAGTTATCTCTTGCCCTAAAACATGTAACATCCAAAGTTTCATTAGTGTTGCCTGAGCAAAAGCAGTGTAACAGTAATACAGGGCATGTGTGTGACCCACTTCTCTTACTAACAACATATCACAAAGGCCAAATATAACAAGCTACAATATACTCGCCTAACTTCCAACATCATTATCTGTGGCAATAATTAAAAATACAACCCTATGAATCAATACATTAATCTGACATGTATCAACTGGTGTCAATACTGTCACTTAATTTGAGATGGCATATTAATCTTTGCATGGAACATATTCTAGTGCAAGAAAACCTAGGCAGGCCAACCATTCAAGTACCACACCCATACTTCACAAGGGTGGCAGCTTGTCAGTGGAATCCACGAGTTTGAGCTCCATAATCTGTGCCAGCTAAACCTCTGCCAATCAGTGCTAAGTCAGTCACAGCTTCAAGAATTTTTCGCTTGCTTCCACGATTCCTGAAAGTAATACAACCAATTTAATGTACACACTGCATCATTCAAACTTTTTTCAGATATAAAATGGCATCTCTAGCAACCCCCTCCCTCTCCCAAACATATACACAGGAAAAATTGCCTTAGGTTATTCCACAGGGGACAAAAAATATTTTAAGTAACAGGATAGTTGTATACATTTCATGTGACAGTGGAGGGTCCAAGTACACACACAAAATCATTAAAAAGGATGATTTTATGGCAAATCGACAACCAGTTACAGTCCACTGCCTCCATGAGCCCACACATACATTCACTTCCCACAAATAAACACCCATGCTCTTTATTTTTCTTATTTTATAGTTTTTTAATATATTTTCTTTATTTAACCACATAGGAGTACTGTAATGATTATTCCACAACTTTTATAGTTTTATTGCATGTAACAATGACACCATGTCATCTCCAGATATTAATCCTCGTAAGTGTGGGGATTTTTTTACTTAAAGTTCAGCAATAATTTGACATTGTAAATGCAAAACCAAGGATAACAAGGCCTGCATTTGATGTAGTGGAATCCTCCCTTTTGCAGAATTGGTCTGCACACTTTATTCTGTTATTTGGAACAATTACTGCATACACTCAGCTAACAAAACTACTCAAACATAAGGAAAAAAGATAATAGATATTAATATACAAAATGCACAGTGTCTGTCTGTGTGGATGGTCACTAAGCACAGCTACAGCTTTTAAGTTAGACAGCTAAAATCTGTACCCTAACAGAGCCATGAATGTTGAATTTGGGGGGTTGGCCCTAGTGGTCACCAATGATCAAAATAGGTTTCCATTTAAATACTGCTTAAAAAACCTATTCTTTCTTAACCTGAAACAACAACAATGTTATACTCTTAATTACTGTACTTACTTTAGAACTTTCTTAGCAAATTCTTCCTTTTGTTGTGCAGTGACTCTAGGTAACAAGAAGGTTTCATCCGCCTGTACAGTCTTGAAGGTGCGAGCTAGATCATCCCCATACATCTTACATAATGCACTTAGGACATCACTGAAGCTACTCAGGCTATGGCGAGGCGAGTTGCCTTAGGAAAAGAAAAATATGATTTATATTAATACTGCATACTATAGCAATAGTTTGCATTAACTTCACCAACACTGATTAAGAGTGAAGAGATTTTTCATTGGAATCCTCTCACATATCAGTTGCATATAATACACTTTAAAAAATAAATAAATTTAAAGAAATGTACAAACAGGCATCCCTCAGTTAACACACAAATGCATAACACGATCTTTTAATACCTGTATCCACAAATAAACAAAGTACACACAACATACAAATTATAGCAACATACATACTGTATAATATACATACATATACAAAACATCAATGTTCTGACAAGTGTCTCTGTGTTGTGAGCAACAACAGGCTGCAGACATCCTCCTGCTGGGTCTCGACTAAGATTAATGAAGCCAGCTAAAAAGTGACCAGCACTTCTAGCAGTTCCTTCTTCAGGTAACTTGATGGCTTCTACACCTGTTAAGATAAAATCATGATACATGTACTAAAATGCAAGAACAAAGTAATGAATCATTCCCGATGATATGACGTATTAAGTAATGAAAGATTTTATGAACAGATATGTCTCAATACAACATAATGTTGCATATTATTCATAACATGATGTTTGTATAAATTTTAAAACAATATACCGGTAAAGATAGTTTACCTAGATGAAATAGTGGTGCTAAATGGTTATGATTAGTAGTCGTAAGATGAGGTGTTTTCTTAAATGTAGCAGTGAGGAGTGCAAGGCAGCCTTGGACAGCATCAGTGTGGTTCCACAGGTCTGCTGATGCTCTACTCAAGGTAGTCGAAGTAACCATTCGTAACAACACTCCCATATTTGCCTCTTGGCTGCCTTCCCGACCGAACAGTATAACAAGCTGTAAAGATATCATTAACAGCTAATTTTGAGCTATGGTCATAATAATTTTAGATTTAATCCTTGATATATTATTTAGTATAATTATTAGCACTGCTATTATAACTTGAACTTATGAAATTTCTTGCAAGAGAACTGGCCAATCATTTGGTTTGGGTTCAAGGTCATGGCTAGATAAATAATTCCAAGATACTGTATGAAAAATTTGCAAAAGATGCCCCCCATTAGTGTGCATAAGCCAGAGAGCATATGCAGCAAACTCCCATTCGATACTTGTTACTTACCTGCTTAACTAAATCTAATATTGCTGGGTTGAGGGATGCTTCGTAAAGCTGAGGTATAATTTCTAGGATTGCTGGTAAGATAGCTACACAGTCATCTACCAGCGTACTGATGCTGTTTTTTAGAAGTTTACACAGAGCCTGGAAAAGAAAAGTACATATTACCAAGAGTCAGTGAAAAATAAAATGAAAAGTATGTCAGTCAGCAAACATAACCACAGTTTACCCTCCTACAATTTTTTTTTTCATAAATGAATTTGGCCTAAGAAAATTCTGCTCCCTCCCCCCCGTATGGTTTTGATGTTTACAGCCAGTCTGCTGTAAGGAGAGGAGGAGACTTATAGTACTAACCTCTATGACATCCTGGTCTGTGCTGGCCTTAGATGCAATATCAGACAAGAGGGGCATCAGCTGTTGCAAGACTAGTAGTAGTGGCTGGGGCTCTCCACTCACCACCTGAAAGATTCACATAATATTATGGATAATTTTGAATCACTATCTCAAAGATCTGCTCTTATCTTCATCAGACTCCATAGATTGTAAAATCTGTTGAGGAGGTACAGGAAAAAGTGTAGTAGTGGCACTGAGATCTGACACACCACTAACACTTGAACCAAAATGGAAAGAAGTGGAAGGGCCAGGAATCGACACATTGCTCACCAAGTGATCCAGATTAAGTGATATCCGGATCATCTGCATCTGGGTAAACAAATTTTCACTGTAATATCAAATATTTTGAGTTGTATCAAGTATATATGGGGAGTCCTCTTTATTTGTCATTTCCCATAGGCATCACGCACCAATTGGGGAATGATTAATCATTCATCATTAATATCCTCCACATTCATCATTAAACAGAAGCAAGTAACAATACCTGTGAATGTCTCCGAGTGGTTCCATCCTCATCATCATCTTCCTCCACAGCTGTATTATTCAGATTAAGATGCCTAGACAGACACGATAACAGCTTGAGTAGAGAAACCAGTTCATTGTGTTGCTCTCGAGATAAACCATTTCCCTGTAAAATAAATCAAAATTATTCTACCGGTTTCAAAGGCAATAAAAAATAAAAACAAATGTATCATGAGAAGAATTGACATGGTGACTTTACTATATGAAATATGGCAGATTTCTGTGGGTTGACCTTTGGAGCTCACATTTATAACTTAGTGGACTGGGATGGGAACAAGATTTACTCAGGAATTTTGACCCAATGAACTTAGGATTTGTTGGCCAAATTTCTGAAAGGCGTGGATTTGCGGAATAATCATTATAAACATGGGAAAATTTTATAATAATTTGCTAAAAGACTTAATCTATTTGTATAACATAACTTTCTATATGCAGGAATGTGTGTGCATGTAACTGAGTAAAAAAAATAAAGAAAATTACGTGTATCCAGAAATTATGAGTTGAAAAATAACCATAACATAGAGCTCATGGGTGAAGAACGGTTGTAAATTTCTCTGCTTGGCCCAGGAATTGCTTGGTGCTCATTTTAATAATTTGTACCAAAACATCGCAGGTTTTAGGAGCACTCTGGATTCCAGGATGCTGAATAAACAGTTCTATACAGAACCTGTTCTGCCTCTACAATGTTTCACAGGCAAAGATAAAATGTTTATGGGGGTTGACTGTTTCTGTTCTTAAAATAAGCCCCAGGCAGTGTATCCTGGCAGGCTCAGATGTTTATGTTCTCAGAGCTCACTTGATGATGACCAGAGTAGAAAAAAAATCCTAACTAAACCTTCCCTCAATTGACTTACTATGAGATCCTTAAGGTGACTAAGACGAGAAATATATGGTGTGAGAGTGGCATTGAGGTAGGTCATGATAGTGGGTTGGTCCTTCCCCACTGACAGCACACGGCTTATAATTGTCATGATGCGCTCAGTTTCAGCACTATCCAGCCGACTCTGTTCCAAAGCTCTCTGTAAATAGTTTAAGAAATTAATGACTACATTAGCTGATTCTACAGTACTGCATATGCTAATTCGAGTATCCTCAGATAATAATCTAGATAAAATCCCTCTTTTTTTTAACCCTTTCCCCCATTCTATCTCCTTTATTCCTTTCCCTTTTACACTTCATTTCTCTCCCTCAAAGTAAAATGTCTCAATTTCACCATGGGATCATCCTAGTACCAAATTTAAAAAAGATCAGTCATAGCACCACTTAATGAAGTTCTCTGTTTATCTATCAATCAATTTAGCTCATCCTTAACTAATTGAGATCAAATAGGTGCTTTTAGTCTCATTTAAAGCTTGAATATGCTACTTTAAAATAAACACATCTTCTGAAATAAAATGAAGGATTGATCTTAAAATCCCATTGTTTTGGTTTAGCCCAAAGCCATGCACCTCAGATACTTTCCTTCCTCCCTTGGTATCTGCCGAGTAATCTCATCTTAAATTAAACATAAGAAAAGATGGAGTAGCTACTAGTTTTATCATCAAAAATATATGAAAAGAATAAAAGGCTTACTTGGCAACTCGTGAGTATGGGCTGTGAAAATGGGGAAATGGTGAGGGGGCACTCCAGTGTTAAGTCACGCAGGGCCTGTGATGCAGCTCCCACCAGGGAAGCATTGACTAACCCCTCCACCATCAAAGGGATAACATGGTGCATGTGGTCTTGATGGTAGTTCAACCAGTCAGCATATGCTCCTGTAAATTATTCAAATTATACTTTTACAAAACCTCACTATGAAGACTAACTGAAATTGTACAGATTAAAGTGTATGATCCTTTCAATAAGACCCTTGGAAATATTATCAGACTTGTAATGAATGGTACATCAAATTAACCCTATCATTTGGCTTTAATCCATGATGAAAACACCTTTTCCAAATGTTGGTTCATAATGAAAAGAGTAAATGTATGAGGGGGAAAGCAGTAACACTTGGGAGATGTTTGGATAAGCAGCAAGCATATCAAAATGTCATATGGAGCTCTGAATATTTAATTATATACTGTTACAAAACCATGCGGACATTATGAACTTAATAATACAGCATGTCCTTCAAATTTGCGGATTTCAAATTCGCAGACCTCGATTATTCGCGGATGACACCGTGGATGTACCCAAGAATGTCTAAATGTAGTTTTAAAGTTGCTGGCATTTTTGTGGACGGGACAGGGAGCCATTCATTCTAGAGACAGTAATTTCCTTTACCTATACAGTATTGTATGTGTGTGTACACAAGAAAAATTTAACCCCCCCCCTCCACCCCCGGTCAGCAAATGTTAGGATTTGGCGATTCGCAGCCATTTTGAGAACCTAACCCCTGCGAATTTGAAGGGCATGCTGTACTGTATAGGCTACTTAGTAAAGACAAAAAATATTACATCACTAACCTAGTGTTGTAAGGGCCACAGATATTAACTGAATATTATCAGAGAATGGTATCTGAGGTATACTCTGAATAAACCTTGGCACATAGAAGTTGTCTGTCTCAGCAACAGTCTCTGCCACTGAAGAATATGCATGCAGTACAGCTTCCAAATAACGCCAATCACTGGGATCGCTCTGCATTTTTACTACAGCATCTTTCAGATGAACTTCTAAGTGACTCAACATGTCTCCTCTTAATACGTAGTAGGCATACATCTGTAGTGGAGAATGAAAGCTTCTATTACTGTATTATGTCCAAGAGTATATCTAGTAACCTAAGAGTAAAAATTAATTTTACATCTTATCCAAAAATATTAAAATTCAAAAGGAAATTATCAAGACAGCAAAAATGGACGAAGTAATCTGGCATGATACTAAAATACTCACGTAAGTATCACAGATGTCTTGCCGGTAACAACGGAACACCTCTTTCTCTTCTAAAGTAAGAGCATTATCAGGAGGCAACAGAGATTTCTGGATAAAAGTATCAACCAATTTCAGGTACACCGGCTGGAAGAGTGTTAGGAGCTCTGCCTGCTGCTCTCCCTCAAAAGTCATAATATCATCCTGAGAAAGAGAGGATTAGAAATGTGAAGTTCTGTACAAGTGATTATCTGGCTGTGAAAACCTATATCATTGCACATGTGTGCTACTTCATTTATTGATTGTTTCTCTTTATTCCCATAAGAGAACATATTATAGTATTAGGCTTATTCATTTATCGATATACTGTACATATACTGCCACATTTTGAGAAATATAAACAGCATTATTTCCCTAAAACAATTGGCAAAAAGCAGAAGTGCAGTTTAGTATATGGTAAAAATTTAGAAATGCCTCAAAAATACCCATAAATACTTTCCTTTACAATCCTAGAACCCGGTGTAAATACAGCACAAAGATGATTCTTGTTAAAAAATCATGTACAATAACTACTTATGAACCTGAAGGTATAACTGATATTAACATATTTTCTTGATGTTGCAAGATTCCAAATTTATTGGTAGATAACTGACCTGGATAGTAAACCATACAGCAAAAGGAATGTTAGAGGTAGTCTCATCGGTGGGGTACTGGCCCGGAGTGGCGGCACACTGGAGGAGGAGAGCCACCACCTGCACAACTGTTGCCTGGTGCTCAGCTTGGAGTGCACATTGAAGAAGTAACCGGGAGTGACACTCAACCACTGAGGTAAAAAGACTGTACACCAACGATGCGGTGTTCTGTGTAAAAGAAATGCCATTTCATTCATATTAAAAAAAAAAGGTCCAATAAAAATTAAGAATACATTAAATGCAAATAAATATTAGAAATTATTTAAAAAATAGCTCATTTAAATATTTATTAGAACATCTGTACTTCCCATCTCAGTTTTTATAAGTTTTATGCTAATTATTACACACACACACACACACATATATTCTTCTAGCTTACTTCATCATTTGCATGTTGTGCTTCTTCCAGCACAGGGGTAAGACCAAGCATCTGTGTAACAAAATCCATCACTGTATTGGGAATGTTATAGGTGCCCACATCTGTCACTGCAGTCCGCATTGCATCCATCACAGGCTGTGGTTTTGAGAAATACGTATGAGACGCCATTAGCAAAGTAAGGTTATGTTAGATGATTGTCCATACCTGTATATCAAAATATGATAAAATACATTTTGAGACACTAAGCTAAACTTTGAGCTAAACTTCAATGAAAACATATTAAACACGCTATCTACACACAGATGAGCCTCACTCACTTCACAGAGAAGGGCATAGTTGGAGTAAGGTATGAGGGCCACTAGAAGGTCCCTCGTCTCAGAGAGGGGAAGGGAGAGCTTGAGCCACGCATTTAAAGTCTTGAGTACCACCTCCTTGATCACATTGCTTATTTGTCCTGCCTGCATCACTTGGGAGATCAGGCTCAACACTACACACAAAAACAAAACATTACAAATTGGAAATAGTTCAATCAAGGTTCTATGATACAAGATGAATTCTCTAGTCTCTACACACAACTCCACACTTTTCAGATTCAAGACTAGACATATTGTCATTCAAACAATGCTACACTACATAAGACTACCCAACCACTGCAGGACATACACATTATAGTATAAGTGTTTAAACATATTTTACATAAATACCAACATAGTGGGATAATGATCTGTTCGAGAAGAATTTTCTTACCTGACTGATGACTGTTTCTGATAGCACTTGTTATAAGCTGCTTGTCTTTACTGTTGATACTCATGGCTTCCTGCATGGATTCAAGCTGTGTAAATAATTAAACAGTTGGTACATGAGCAACCCTAAAAAGAAATTATGTTATTAGGTATTAAATATTGGTGTTTCATTTCTCGAAAGTGCTACTTCTTTTAAAGAAAAAAATACTGTACTTCAACATACAAAATGTGAAATCAACATGCAAGACAAAGTTTTTTTTCAATGAGTGACCATCTCTGGGCATTGTACTAAGAACAAATTATTTTGGCTAATGGGGATATAACTTATACTTAACAAATCTTTTAAGCCTTTTCCCTTTTAAGGGCACCTCCTTATTGAGTAGATTTCCGTCAGGACCTCAGTATGAAGGAGACTCTCATTCACATATTTTAATTCTAGTAATTTTTACATCCAAGACAAATCAAACCACGGCTCTGGGTTCTTATCCCAGATTTGCTGACAAAATTTTGAATTGCTACATCAACATAGTTATAAAATAATCAATTGTTATGCATTATGATACACTACTCCATGCAAAATAAAATGTACCTGAAAATTTAATTTTAGAAAAAATTGCCATAGGCTGCAACTTTATCCAGCCATTTTAATATTTCATAAAAAGTACAGAGGTTTTGTAAAAAGTCATGAAAGCATGCACATACAAAAACACAAAGATTGACATGACTTGGTTAAACTTATTTTGCAGTGAAATAACAATATAAAGAAATATATGGTACATATGAGGACATTGCAGACATTACTGACAACTTCAAAATGTATGCTGACTGGCCTAGCTGCCTCCCTAGGTTGTCACTGATATAAGCCCAGCCAACACCAAGACCACCAGCACTAACTCTGTATACACCCTTTCAAATACTGTAGCTACTGTACATCTAATTTACCTGACTGGTAATGACCTGGCATCCTAAGATATTGTTCATTCTCTTGTAGACTTGAGAGATTTTGTTAGAACAGGAAATGGATTTTTGCATACATGTGGAGGTTACCATTAATATCCACATCACCTCATATAAAATAATGCAGGACCACAGGGTAATCACTTAAAGAGCTTCCTTACTATAAGCAAAACACTGTAATACTCACCTCCTCAGGTATTATAGTAAGTATACTAAATAACAAGTTAAGTGCAGTTGACGGTTCTATGCCTGACACTGTTCCTGGGTCAAACATAGTTATGATATCTTGTATTGCTGTCGTCCACTCTGACTGAATTGTGTGGATAACATAAGCTCCTAACTGCAATGGTAGACAAACAATATAACATTCATCTGTTAAAAATATATAATACCGTATACAGTACAGTATATAAACTCTGGGAAGTCATTAAAAGTCATCAGTCAGAGTTTACAACCTACTCCAAAGTTGTCACTAGTAATAATTATTTGTGAAGTTTAATTATAGACCTAAAATTACTAAACTTTTAGGACATAGAAACAATATTGTATATCTTATATTTTTATAAAAACCTTTTAAAAAAGGATGAAGAGGAAACTCCCGATACATATTAAAACTAAAGTCATAAGTCTGATTTGCTGCTAAAGAACTTCGATAAAATTACTGTGATAAACAGGGGTTAAATAGTAACATTTCTTTAATGTTATATATTCAGATACACAAAATGACTGCTATTATACTTACCGATTTCACTAATCTATTGAGGATCACTTTAGAATTACTATATTGTGCAATTAGGTTTAAAATCTTGATTTTTAGGGGTTCATATTCTTCTTTTGGAACCTCATGCCAGTACCTTGACACTTTCATATAAACCGTATTACCAGCAAAGAATTGTACTTCTTCAGGCTGAAAAAAAATCAGTAATAACAAAGCATGAAGTAAAGGGAGGTACTGTAATATCAAAATATGGTTTAAATCAGAAAAACACTAATTTAATGTTTATTTTCAACTTATACAGTAACCTTAGTAATGCTGGCTACACACACACACAGTTTTGCACTGATTTTTAATTGTGCCGGCCAAAATTACACACATAATATTTGAGCCAATTTACAAACTCCAACATTAACTGTAATACTGTGCTGTAATAAGATATATTCATGATACATCCATAATACCTTTCTTGGATCCAAAAGTGGCCAGGCAAAGGTCCAGGAGTGGCGGGAGTGTTGGGCCTGCACGAGCCAAGCATTGTATCCGCTCTTGGCCACAGGATCCCGGTAAAACTCCACCACCGCCTGCTCCACCTGCTCGGCTGACACCTCCATCTTATTGCTGTCAATATATTAAAATATTAAGGTATATCATTGAAGGTCAGCATACAATATAGTCAAATGGAGTTAAAAACAAAGGCTATTTTGGGGTAAATAAGAAGAACCCCCTCTAAGAACGCAAACTTCTTCAAAACAGAACGTTGTCAAATCATCGCCCAAATTTTTTTAACATTCAACTTATTGTATTTATAAAGCTGTTTTTTTTATAACTTCTGTTGCAAACAAGTGTGTGTAAGAAGACCGCAGGTATAGCAAGATGATGTCACATTAGTTAGTTAATAATAGCCTGTGGGGTATCCAGTTATTTTATATAATCCTGAAATGTCTAAAATTTCTGCATTTCTTCCCTTTTACCCCACACTGTAAAAAGCATAATTTTCTACAGGAGTTGTGTGTAATATATGTCTACTGATATGGTACATAAGTTTTAAAGAATTGTGAGCACACTTCATCTTGTGACATCTCATCATCATTTGTGGTTGTGGATGTAGCCTCCTGGTCATCAAGAGATCACTTGAGATTGGCTACTGGAAAGATGGCAGAGCTCTTCCCCTTCAATGGCCACCCTCTTAGCATTTTTGCTTCTTTCACGGATATATTTTGAGGACACATTCCAGACTGCTCTGTGGGGTCTACCTCAGTACCTGTTATCTGTGCCCACTGTGTGCATCTATGCTCAGAATGACTACCGGTAGCTACTTTATCTTATCCGCTTTGCCTCTGATGAGCCTGTTACCGACTTGAGTGGTTGGTCAGGTCTGTTATGCACTGTTGGTAAGTATTGTGTTATTACATGAATATTAATTATTTAATAAAGAAAACGATTAAAACATTGGTAAATAAACAAAATACAGAACAATTCAAGGTGATTTGGCACCAGCGCATAAACCACTGAGCAGCAAAGTATAATCTCGCTCTACCCTCTTCTTCACAGAGAAGCCTCAATGGTTGATTTGCAATTGCAATTTTTTTCTGAGCACAAGCTAAATCGTGCACAAGAAAGGCAAATCATGACAAACAAGTCCATCTCTAGAAGCTGTGGGATAAATATGAAGAAAAATATCACCACTTCTAATTTCCTAAAAAAAATTTCAGTCTTCTGCCAAGCTTGCATGAGTAAATTTTAGTCTTTCACATGTTGTTAAGTGAGATGATTGCAGGCGTATTAAATTTTTTTTTAATTTTTGTTTCGTTTTAGGCTTTAATAAATTGTTTAACTGAGATACTTGCATAAGTAATAACATTTTTATTTTCTTATTTTCATCTTTAATAAATTGTCGTAGTGAGATGCTTGCATGATCCAATGTATTGTTATGTCGAGGCATAATTTTGTAATACAATTTTGTAAACTAGGCATTTTGATTAAACATTGGTAACTATTACCGGGCCACATAGCCTGTTGCATCCTTCACATATTGTTTGTTAAGTGAGTTGATTGCAAGCGTATTAATGTTTTTTTGTGTTTTTTTTAATTTAGTCTTTCACATATTGTCTTAATGTTTTTTATTATTTTCTATCCCAAGCAACAGTTATTTTCATGTATATATTGATGGGAGTGAACGGGGTGACGAAACGGGTAAAGCAGCGGTGACAAAATGGGTTGGTGATGAAATGAGCATATCCTACTGCAAGCATTCTAATCTCTCTTGATACCTAAGGTGCTGGAATGCAGAAACCAGTTTAGCAGACCTCTTTTGGATATTCTCAATAAATTGACAGTCTCCAGCACATCTTGGGAGCCAGACAGGATGACAGTACTCAAAGAGGGAAGCACCTCACTTTTCAACAGCGTTACGAGGGACAAATCACCTAGGTATGTGAATGGTCTTCTCACAATGGCCTAAGAACTTCAGTTAATTGTCAACATCCACACTCTGATCCTTTTCGAATTTGGTGTAGGTTCTTGATTCTTCTTCGTCATGTTGAGACATGTGAGACACTTCATAGTATAATGTATGCCTACTGGTGCATGTTTATCAAATGCATACAGCGACAGAGTAACGGTTAAGAACAGAGGTCCAGGTTATACAGCTACCTAACGAAAGATCCCTATAGAAGAAAACTTATGTCTTACCTCAAGAATAAATCAAATTGGGTGGAGGAATAGCACTTTTCATATTCTGCTTTTTTCCCCTTAAATAAAGATGCTGCCACCCACCTGCTTCATGATGACATGTTTGCATCTCGTTGCTGAGAAACATTATACAGAGACCAACATTCAAGTTCATTATTGCCATGATATTCTCTGTAGCAGCATCCCTATAAGCATATGTTTGAAATATGCAATTTGCAATTCTAATATCAAAGCTCTTTTGAACTTTCATATTTTATTCTGAGAGGAATGTCCCTTTATCAGATTAACAGCACTACAATTCACTCAGTTATATCACTTATAACACAAACTCAACATCAGTCAAAGATTTCTAACGTGTCTCCACTGTCAGTCATCTAAATTTACTGCCATTGTCACACTACTATACTTCATATCTAAGTTTTGCTGACACTCTCGCCCAGTATATACCCATTTATGAATAATATTTAGCACTAATGAACATTATTTTTCTTGATATGACTCAACTGGTGTCCCATCCAGCTCAAAATCTCATAAATACAAAGCAACATTTTCATGAGACTTAATTTCATTCTCTTGCTGCAGCATCACCTTAAACTTCCTCTTCTCCATGGCTTTGATTACAGATTAATTTATGTTCTGTTAATGATTCTTGAAAGTTCCTTTACCTAAGAACTATACATTTGTTTCTATTAAGTCCATTCTGTCCCCATGTTTCTTATCTACCGGGTAACTGTTCATCATTTTTCAAGGTCTGTATTTACATTTTTTCAGCATTTAAAACACTTTCAGAGGTGATGCATTACAACACTTGTAGTACCACTTTACACACCCAAAACATTTACCTACATATCCATAGTTTTCAATACACTATGCAAGGTATGTAATACATCTGCAGTTCAGTAGCTAATATTATGAAGTAATGAGTGTCTCAAAATTGTTGGTTTAGTGTAACACGAAAACAACTTATCCATACTATTACCTGAAATCTTATAAAGTAACTATGGTGAGTAACTAATGTGCCTGAGAGGACACCTTAACCCTACCGACCTTTAACGTTATGGTGATGTGTCAACACCATCAAGGTTCGTCATTTACTTCCATCAGAAACTCTCTACATTCCCAAACTAGAGGAAACCACAGGAGCGGCATAACTGGCATAAAATAAAATCCGAAAAAAAAACCAATTATATCAAAATACGACTAAACCGTTCACTAGAGTTTAGCTCAGGAGGGGGTCCACCTACGGTAATGATAAAACATGACCTATTACTGCGTAGTTCCCATGACAACACGCCAAAAACAATATTTCCACGTGTTGCCGTTGTTGTGAGAGTGTTGGCACCAGTATATACAGCAAGAGCTACAGCCTACAACTCACAAAATACTTATTCCATCCCGGCTGATGTTTCTGTTTACTTTCTTCGATGCTGCTCGTGGAATAACTAGTTCAATGGTTCTTCTCTGGGCTCTTTAACTTCCTCTACGATAATATGGTTTTACTTCCAAAAATTATATCATTTATTTTATCTCAGAATGTTATAATATTCTATTTATACGCTAGCATTACATATAAAACACAGAATGGTCGTAGAATTAATGGTTATTAGTTTGTGAATTGGGTGTAGTGGGACCACCTGTGAACTCGAGCCCAGGATTAGCTTCTGTGACGCGGCGTGAAGCATTACTTTAAATCCTCTTTACTATTCTCTGTAATAGGTTTAACTCTCTGCTTTGACTGCATAGGGACACAATGACCATGGCTGCAATTACTCTTCCTATCTTCATTTCTTAGTATTATGAGTATTATATTGTGAGCATGTTTTACTCTATAAAGGTCTTTTAAAGGGAATATCAATAATGTTTGTTTACTTACAGTCTTCCCTTATATTATGCAACTTGTATTTTCACCTTTAATTTGATTTATCGAATTCGTCTAACCTAACCACGAAAGAGAAAGACAATGCGGGATAAATAGAACAGGGAGAAAGAAAATGAAGAGGGAATGAGAGGGAAGACATATAAATCAATAAAGACAACCCAAAGAGATTATAGAGAGGAAAATAGGTGCTACTATAACGTGCGGTCTACAAAGATATCTTTAGTCTTACCTAACATAACCTAGCCTAATCTTACCTTGCCTAACCTAACCTGACCAAATCTAGCCTAACCTGACCTAATTTAACCTAACCTAACCTAACCTAACCTGACCAAATCTAGCCTAACCTGACCTAATTTAACCTAACCTAACCTAACCTACCCTACATACTGTACGTATATCTAGTAGACCGCACGTTATAGTAGCACCCAGTATTTTCATCAATGTCTTTACGTGCTCTCAGAATATGCAGTCCGGAACTCATTGGTGAGGAATATAAATATATCTGTAATATTGGCTTGAACCTTAAGTACCCTAGGTCTTTTATAGACAAATGCCTTAACATTACTAAGAAATCATTTTATAGAACTGATCCTAAGCCCACCCATGACAATAAGAATCTCTTAGTATTACCATTTAATAAAAATTTCTCTCAAATTCCTATACAACTGAAAACCTGTAACGTTGATGTGACATTTAAAAACTCATGCACTGAAAAACAAATGTTAATTAAGAACTCCCCCCCAACAATGCAGGCGGCTGCATTTACAAGGTTCCTTGCAAGGAATGTAATATGTTCTACTTAGGCCAGACGGGTAAAGATCTTATAACTTGACTTAAACAACATAAATATTATGTTAGGACAGACCAGGAATCCAATGCTCTGTTAATTCATATGAGAGATAATAAGCATTGCATTAACTGAGATAATGCCTCCTCAATATTACCTTGTAATTCAATTGTCAGTAGAAACATTATTGAATCCAGTCTCATTAAACATACCGAATCTGTCAACATGAATTTGAGTAATGGTATGTACAAACTGGATAATTTTGTGAATAAGAATATTTGTAACCAGGTGAGAGGGTTGGGTCATCATACCCTATGACCTGACTACGGACAGCTGCTGTCCTTAGAGATGGCATGGCCAATTTTTTGATTAAGAACATTGTGGACACCTGCTGTCCCCTAGGGACTTGATCCCCCTCTCCTCTACTGTATAGATTAGCCTTGTCAAGTATTACTCCTTAGTATATATATATATATATATATATATATATATATATATATATATATATATATATATATATATATATATATATATATATATATATATATATATATATATATATATATATATATATATATATATATATATATATATATATATATATATATATATATATATATATATAAGAGCAGACACTGACGCGCGCTCTAGTGTTGGTGGAGTTTTGTTAAGCAGACGACGTCTTGTAACAGGAATTTAATACAATAATGACAGTGTGGAGCAGCGACTCTTACGACCAATGTGAAGTCTTCCATCTCTTCTCTCCTCCTCTACCGTCACCTTCTCCCACTCTTGTCTTCCAATTACTGGAGGGAATATTTATTAGCGTGTTGCGGTCTTTAAACTGCTAGAATTCACTGTTCCTCAACTAATGAGAAATTACCCATAAGTGGGTGATTTTAATAATTTCTTTGGGTAATGAAGTAATCGGTAAAAATGTCATATGTATGCCAGTAATTTTCATATAATCCCCCAATTTGTCCAATCAACTCTACCTGACAAGGCAACAAATCAAGGTTTCTAATGGCATGGAAAAATATTCAGGAAATCTTAAGGTTTTTAATTTATAGTGATGGCTGCAAAGGACAATTCTCCCTGGTCTAACGTCATACTATACACAGCTGGACCGACGGGACAGTGGGTAAGAGACTTGAAGAAGGCAGCGGTGGCTGATGATAGAGGTGTGGAAATGTGTTCAGTTGTAGTCATTTTCCTTAAGAATTAATATAAATTATTTTGAAAAATATTCAGAGAAGGATGACAAAATCCCGGGCATTAGGGACCTTCCGTGTAGAGAAAGAGTGAGGGGCGATGTGATCCAAGTGTACAAATGGAAGATGACGTTAAATACAGTACTATTAAATCATGGCAGCACACGTAAAGATGGATTATATACAATTGGATCTATGAAGGAATTAGTTCACGCTGACTCGTAAACAGAAGTGTAGATGAATGGATTAAGTTTTGTAGTCACATGAACAACCTCGACATTATCACTTGTCTGTAAAAGTTAAATGCGTTCATCTTAAAATATGATCGGTGGTAAAGGTTGAGATTTGCCCAGACAGTGTGACCTTTATCTCACCTGAGGTTACTGCATCCATCAGGTCAATTGAGGTTTTCCTACTTACTTGTCTACTTCAGTGTTTTAGGTTTTGCTCTTAATTGTGTTTTTTCCCCTCAATTTGTAATGTTTGTGTTTCACTTTTCGTTGCAGTTGGCTGGATCGTGTACACACTTTGGGGATTTGTTTGCATTCGTGTAAGTTTATGAGTATGCTGGCATGTGTGTATTTTATTTGTACTAATATAAGTGTCTATTGATTGTAACGTATTTAAGTGAATGTATACACTGCTTTATGTATAAATGAATATGTATAGCTGAACTAGTGTAGGTGCCTTGAATGTCAACGTGTGATGGTATTTCTGTTTGAAGACAATGGGTGTATAAATACGTGCATCAAGCGGGCTCCTCACTTTAATAAGGTGAGGTGAAAGGTCACAAGGCAGGACCAGGTGCCGCGACAAGGTAGACCAGCTAACTGTTGCCTCGCTAACTGTCTTGATGGACAAGAAGCTTCTGACCCGCACCTCTCGGGTCATACACACCCGCTGGTGACCAATGAAGTGTATGGCGGAGTGTGACCACCTCAGTATCCCAGCTTTGACTTCGCTTTATTAAACGACCAACGTAAGAAGCTAATGACAGGTGTAACGAACATGCCACTGGTAGAGTTTGTCTTATAGTTCACAACGAAGTGAACTGTATTATAGGAATGAGATCAATACATCGTCTCCATACTGTGGTTATCTCTCTTGAATTACTTTGGGTGAGTATTTTCCCCAGGAGCGTCTCTGACTGTTGACTTGTTGGTGAAGTGTGAGGGTATGGTCCTCCTCACGGTCACCAACAAGGCAGCCAGGAACGGGAAACCCACCGATTATAACATTATTTCCCTGTTCGCTCGTGTTTTATCGTATGAGCTGATGATTCACGCAGGAGTCTCTACATTAACTCTTTTCCCAGAGAGGCTTCTGAGGTGTGATAATGATGGATGGTGTTTCCATAGCTCAACACTTTAGCATAAGTTATTTATGATACATATAAACATGTTTTTTGAAGTTAATGTAATTTTTTTTTCAAAACTCGTGGTCACTGGCGTCATTTTGTGGAGAAATCTGGCACTAGAAAAAATATACATACTTTTTTTATCTGTTTCGTCAAGAAATCTGATACAGTAAATCCCATCCGTCTTTGATACTTTAATTCCGAGTTATCGCGAAAAAAATATTATTATGGAACAGTTGCCAACCCTGACCTTCATCTCGCCAAGAAGTTCACCTCTTACTGTATACCAATAGTGTTCATCCATGACAGTTGGTCAGATTTGGTGCTTATATACGGGTCATGCACACGCTTTATTATAGTGATGATGCAAAAACACAGCCAGAAAGACAAGATCATCCTAATACTTTGTAAACCCGTGAGCAGGCGAGGTGTGTGTGTGTGTGTGTCAAGTCAGTGTACACGCATGCATACAAGGGATTAAGAGTACAAATCCATTTTTTCAGCGTTTCATAACTAACGTCCCTGAAGACTGCCGAGGTGTTGACGTCACCCCGAGATAAATAATGATCACACCTATAGCCTACTACAGTACTACTAAATTCCTACAGATAAGATTAAGAATATTAACATCACTAACACTAGCATTAAATCTTTCTATCTCTCTACATTAAGCTGCATTTGTTTCTCTAAGCTTCATAAAATTTAAGCTTATTTGAGATCTTCCTGTAGTCTTCTATATCTTGTTATCTTTATTTACCTATGTTTCTGTCTACGTCATTGTGGTTATGTTTCTCTTGCAGGTGAACAAGAAAGCCACAGCATGAGTCCACCTCGGCACTCACAGAAGTACCCCAATACGTCTTCTTCACTACAAGGAAACTCTGATTAATTGCCTCCTGTTCACAAGTCCAGAGCATCATATACACACCACTATTATCATACTTTCATTTCTGATTTAGTTTTTGTTTATTTATCCCGAGAGATTCTTTGTTTTTGTCCTTGTGACGTCATTGCTTGGAGTTATGTAAGGTATCGTAAAGTAGTTGTCGTCAGCACCCAGAGTGTGTGTAACAACTTTGGATCAAACAGTTTCTCAGTGGAGCTTCAAACACCTCTACGGGTCACTCTTGTAGTCCAGAAAACGTTGAACAATGAACTATATAATAGATCCAACTTTCCCGCCAATTTATACGTTGACCACATAATACTCTAACCTAACCTGACCTAACCTAACCCATCAACAAATACTCATTATAAACTACAAATTACCAGATGTTATTAACAATGTCGGATGCCTAAAAATTTTCACACTATGTTTGGAGGTTGACGTATCGGCTGCTACGCTCATGATGCACACAGTGGACATAACATAATCTTGGTGTGAAGAATACAAGCACGAACCCTGGTGCGTGAGTTATCTACTACACACACCGCAGTGGAGCATGTTTAGAGAAGATTAAAGTCACTCTGGATTCTCTCTTTGACAATCGCGGCGACCATATTTGTGCCGATGATTTATTGCCATCTCAATATTACAGTTCCTTGATAGTTAGGCCCCAAGGGTTACAAAAATAACCTTAACATTGACCTTAGTTGACCATTATAACCTCAGGGTCATATTGGGATCTATAAAGTGAAATATTGAGTTCCAGTCAATATATAACAACAACTCGGGCGTTTCACTTGAGGCGTCACAACTTAGGCTGTCGCTAATGGTGATTTTATAAATAAGATCTTCAGTGAGATAAACTTTGGCACAGCGTAATACTGGGGAACGTGAGAGCCTCGTCACATTCTCCTCAGCACAGTTGTCCTTTAAAGAGCAATTGTCACACACCGCACACCCTCTCACGCAACATAGGCAAGTATCCAGGGCCACGGCAGACTATATCACAGCATGCTGGACCACGGCAGACTATATTACAGCATCGCGGACCACGGCAGACCATATCACAGCATCCTGGACCACGGCAGACCATATCACAGCATCCAGGGCTACGGCAGACCATATCACAGCATCCTGGACCACGGCAGACCATATCACAGCATCCAGGGCCACGGCAGACCATATCACAGCATCCCGGACCACGGCAGACCATATCACAGCATCCCGGACCACGGCAGACCATATCACAGCATCCCGGGCCACGGCAGACCATATCACAGCATCCAGGGCCACGGCAGACCATATCACAGCATCCCGGACCACGGCAGACCATATCACAGCATCCCGGGCCACGGCAGACCATATCACCTAAGGCTACTTGGATGATTATGTCACCAGAAGGAAGTTAGGTCACAAAATTATCTCACAGGAAAATATAGACTAGTATATATCGCCTCTCACACGTAAGTATTTCGGAGATGAAAATACAGTCGTAAAATAAGAACCAAATACAAACTTTTTCAACATGTTAGTATTTATTATTCACCAATATCTTATCATTCATACACATACATGTACATCGTCAACATCACACAGACATACACTAATACATACATACCTAACTGATCTGCAGAGTGGTTTAATTCGTATAATGTGTGTTTGGGTCACTGTTCACTGATGAGACTGTCTCTCTCACGATTCTGCTCAGTCACTGCTCGGTCACTGCTTGATACACACGATTGTTCTTGTCAACAGTTAACCTCAGTTATGTTATTATTGTCCGTGTGTGTGTGTGTGTGTGTGTGTGTGTGTGTGTGTGTGTGTGTGTGTGTTTCACTCTCACAACCCTCCGGTAGCTCTTGAGAACAGTATATGGATGTCAGTTTATCTTTTAATAGTGAAGAGTACAATGGCCTGGTGATGACGAGTACAAGGGCTGATGGTGACGAGTACAAGGGCTGGTAGTGACGAGTACAAGGGCTGATGGTGACGAGTACAAGGGCTGGTGGTGACGAGTACAAGGGCTGATGGTGACGAATACAAGGGCTGATGGTGACGAGTACAAGGGCTGATGGTGACGAGTACAAGGGCTGGTGGTGACGAGTAGTAAGGGGCTGGTGGTGACGAGTACAAGGGCTGATGACGAGCGCTAAGGGCTGGTGGTGACGAGTACAAATCAGTGGTGGCCAACTTAACCCTGAAACAAACGTTACTGATGGTAACCCATTAGTTTCCTGATAGGGAGTCCTGGGACAAAGCGACGATACACAAAGCGACGTGTTCGTGGTCCTTCACTACAGTACTGCGAAGGAATGTTGCGACTATCTTGTGCCATGGGACAGAGCGCGTCACACCACACCCTCCACCGTCAACAATACAACACTCACAATGCACAACAAGAACATACTTGTTTCGTTCACTAGTGTATAAGGCGAGGTTCCTCATGGTAGCGTCAAGGTAAGATGGTCGACCACCTAGCCAAGGGGGAGGTCCAGGAAGTCCGGGTAAGAGCGCCTTACACGGAGCGAGGAACACCCACCTCTTGCCTGGGAAGAACACTGTGTCTGGCCTCCCGGGTCACCAGCTCCTGCTCCTTGTATGAGGAACGTGACCACCCTCACAACACACATAATCAACGTGACATTAAACACTGTCAGTTGATTTCTCTCTGAGATTATGGCGCACTCAGGGGAATGACAGGCACAAAAATAGTTCACGAGGCTAGAGGTAAACTCGACACCATAATAAAAGCTGTCGCCATGATAGTACTTCCGACGTCTTCGCCGACTTGCATGTACTGATCCTCGTCCACAAGGAGTCTCTTGAGGGTGAAGTACCACTGGAGGAGGTGATGTACCGAAGGGAGCACAATTAGGAGTGTAGGTGTGTGTGGTGGTGAGTAACACATGGCTGATCCCCTTGCCTCCCTGTACACCTGCACAGCGTCAGGGGTCACCGCTGATGCTGCTCCTGAGGTTGATGTTCAGCTAATGATGACAATGGCGCCGTTGCTGCCGCTGTTCTTCTTACATCTGTTACCACCATTACCGTTTCGTCGACTAATTTGATCTAAATGTCCATTTTGTTGTCATAAATGTGTCTCTGGAGAAGGTGGCAGAGTGCTGGCACGATGGATTAAAGGTTACCACACGAGCCCTGCATAATCTCCCCATCTAGGAATTATTGGGAGATAAAAGAACATCTGACGTTAGTTTTAGGTAATGTTGACTACGGTAAGGCGCCTGCATGGTAATTACAGCAACCCGGCTAATATATCTAAGGTGCTTAAATTTATGGCTTGATGTGACGGAGCTCTAATGATTCTTGTAGAAATGTTGGGAGAATCGCAAAAGACGGTAACTGGTGCAATCACGCTTAGCCGAAATTATTAATATAAGATTCTTAGAATTTTGTCACTAAGGCGAGAACTGATAAATTAGTGTATATTAACTGCAGGAGTGTGAGGGAGGTGTGTGAGGGAGACGCTTGAGGGAGAGACTCAGGACTTTCACTCTACATGCTCTGGTGGACCAGGTTGTGCGTCTCACCGTGATTCAACGCCTCTTTAGCGTCACTTGTCTGAAAAGCGGGGCGTGGGGGGAGTGGGGGATAACGTCTGTTTTAACGCCCAAACACCGAAAGTCTAGCCTCTTGTCTCCCTTCTCTCTGACCTGCGTTGGTTAGCTCAATGAATGCCTCTCTTGGAAGCCTGGTTAGCTAACATGTGCTCATCACGAAGGTTATTGTTTGTCACCCTCACTGTTTACTAGTGTTTGTATACTTACACTGTCTATATACTGTACATAGATAGTGCATGTATACAAACAATTACAGGTATACAGGAATGTTCGTACAGTAGAGTATAGGTATACAAACAATGTACACACCAGCTGATTCACTGTACTCATGGATATGTTATCATACTCAAGGGTACGAGTCATCGTCCTCAAGGGATAAGCTATCGTACCCAAGGGGATAAGACATCGTTCTCAAGGTCACTGTCATTGTACTAAAGAGAATAAGTCATCGTACTCAAAGCCAACTAAGCCGACGTGTGTTAGTTTACCGTACTCATGGAAATAGCCCTCGTACTCATAGGATTAAAAGTTAGTAATAAAATGGTATTATTCTAAGAGTACGTTTGAATACATTTACTACCATACTCCCTTGTGTCAGTGAAGCAGTAATAGTATCAACATTACGAGTTACTGTTTTACCTTAAGATAAAAATAAACCATTACATCACTCAACGCCAGTTCTCGTGGTGGGGTGAGGCGTCCATCATTAACTCTCTGTTGTTGGCTGTTTTGTCATTTTCACTTACAGCAGACACCATTATTATCAGTGTTAGTGTCGCTCCTATGAGGTGTGTGTATGTGTATGTGTGTGTGTGTAAACTCGTCATAGAAATTAACATTAAGTCAGCAAGGTTTACAGGTAATGTATATACAAGTACAGATATACAAACAATGGTAAACAATTCGACCCAGGACAGGTAAACAAAGCCATCAAATGCTCTTCAGTATATACCGTAGTTATTCGGTATATAAAGTGAACATCCCAATTGTTTGTAAACAAGTGAATCTCTCGGGGACACTAACAGAACACGTCGCTGGGCCAGAAGCCTTTCTCTTGGTTAGGTTATATTAGTTCACATAAGGAAACTGAGGGTAGGTGGCACTGAGGTGTGGTGGCACTGAGGTTGGTGGCTCTCAGGTTGGTGGCACTGAGGTTGGTGGCTCTCAGGTTGGTGGCACTCAGGTTGGTGGCTCTCAGGTTGGTGGCACTCAGGTGTAGTTGTATAGGTGTGTAGTTGTGGTATAATGATGTGTTTGTGGTGGTGTGGTTAAGGTAGTACGGTTACGGTGGTGTGGTTGTAGTGGAAGGGTGTGGAAGAGATGATTATTGTGGTATATGGTTGCAGTGGTGTGGATATGGTGGTATACGATTGCAGTGGTGTTGATTGCAATGGTGTGGTTGCAGTGGTATAAGGTTGAGGTGATGCGGTTGCAATGATTTGGTTGCAGTAGTGTGGTTGGAGTGGAAGGGTGTGGACGAGGTGGTTTTAGTTCATGTTGTATTAAGGCCGCAAGAGATTATGGTGGGCAGGCGAGGCACAGCTGTCACTCAACACAGTACCTACACGCAGAAGACCTCCTCCCTCCTACGTTAGTTATATACAATCATACCTAAACAGAATCAGCAATCATGTGTGTAAATAAAACCTATATAAATTATGTCCTTATATGTTGTCAAAGACGCCGGGGGACTCTGGAAAAAATAAGTAACAGTATAATATCAAAATTGAAAATATGTATTGTCAATATTATGGTAATGTAGTAGTAAATGAAAGAAAAACAAACAAAGAAAATGTTTTACCCCGCTATGCCTTACTTGAGTTGCCACTTAGGTATTTTTATAAGGTGTAGTTGGGGGGAGGGGGGATGAGGGTGGCGGGGCAGAGGTAAGGGAGGAGGAGCAGGGTGAGGGTGGTAGTGGTGGTGGTCACGATGGTCGGCGCCGCTCTCCTACACGCTTTATTCGGGTGAGAGCAGCGCGGGGTTGTGGCCAGTCCTGCCATAAACACTGTGCTGGCCGCCCATGTATGGTAGGTAACAGCCACTTTGTAATTTATCGTTTAAGAGGAGTTAGGTAAGACCTCCACGGCGGCGGTACTACCCACAGCAGGTTGATGCCGTGTCCTCATGTTTGGCAGGTGTCCGTCTTGGCTATTATCAAAGAATAAACGCTCTAATGGGACTAGTTAATTACACACCTAAAAATATACACACAACACATTAGTACATTTATCACAATGATGAATATTATAAGACATTAAAGATTAGATCCAAAATACATATGTTAGGAACCTGTTAGTTCAAGAAGACTCAGGAAACCTTTATACATGAAGCAAAACCACCTCAAGAGTTTCACGAGGTGGCAGGTGGGCCAATAATGACGCCCAGGATAGGCAGAGAGGTATGCCACAGTGAGTTCAAGCACCAGATCAGAGTGTAGAAAGACGGGAAAAAGAGTCTCAGAGGCGGAGCACAACCGAGGCTCCGTCAAAACTTAAAACTTTCTATTATTTCCCACATCAAGATTAGGGACAACTTGTGGGGTGCCTCTGGGTGGAGACCTGGTGTTGGTAGTTACGAGGACTCAGGCCAGGACAAGGTGTAACTGCATTATTTTTCTCAGTGTTTGCAAATGATGCATGTATACAAGCACTGAAGTAGGCCACCATCCACCACTAGCCACCATCCACACCTCCTGACACACAACTCATCCATACCTCCTGACACCCTACTAATCCACACCTCCTGACACCCTACTCATCCATACCTCCTGACACCCTACTAATCCACACCTCCTGACACCCTACT